CACAGCGTCACACACGGCGGGCTAGAGTGAGTGGCGGCGGCCTAGAGGGAGCGGAGGCCGGAGGCCTAGAGTGAGCATAAAAGTTACGCTTTCTTTCTTTGCGTGAACATTTGGGCGGCGTTATGCAAATCTTCCCACATCGTGACGTAGACATGTGGGGGCGTGTTAGAACGAGCCGTTTTAGGTAGGCGTGGTTGACTCTTTTAACTTTTATAAAGAATATCTCTTTGGATTTGAGACTTTAGTCTTTGCAACTTTACAGATCTTCTTTATGCACCAAGAGCTTGTAACACTCCAAAGAGAAAGGAAAAATTTAAATCGCATCATATGACCCCTTTAAGCATGTTTCTGTATCAGATTTAGATCAAAGCAGAGAGCTTGATATATCAGCCGGGAATGTTCAGCTTCAACTACAATGATTTTAAGAGACTTTTTCTCATAAAATTCACAGACAAACAAATTTAACATGCATGATTTTGTCTGTTTTCTTAACTGTGGCTTGTTCAGTTCACCAGAGACAATAGCAAATGCTGGGAATGATTCCTTAATGTTTGGCTGAGCGATTGGAGCAGTGTGGTTCATTCAGAACTGAATCGAGAATTCTTTTGGAATTGTAGTTCTGCTCCCAAATTTGAATTGATGCTAAAAATAGGATGTTGATTTTAATTTGTGGAAGTAGAATTTAAATGGAATGCTATTTTTTTTTACATTTAAATTAATCTGTTTGACCCAAATAACTTACCTGATGTACCCCTTGGTTTTTTAAGTAGTGTTAATTTTCTGAAAAGATTATACTTCTTTGTTGATGTATGGCAAAATTAAAATATGTTTTGTTGGTGGTGTTTATTACTATTTTGATAGTGTAAATAAATTTTTTTTTTTTAAATGTCTAATAAATTGAAATTAACCAGTCGTGTTGTGGCACAAAACATGCAGTGTTGTTATGGACTAATGAAATTCCTGTGAATTGAAAGAGGCAATTTTTTTATATTCTGTTTTGCCTAACATTGATCTGGATGCTTTTTACAACACCAACAACACGCTAGGTGGAGCAGCATTCATCTAAGTGCTTGTATGCATGCATCATTTTGTGACTTTAAGTTTAAATATTAATTATTAATTTCAGTAGGCTAACATCAATAGCACCTGACAAGCATTTCTGTGTATATGCGTGTTGCAGTTCTTGAGCAAGTCTAATGATTTGTGCTCAGTGTTGGTATGTGGATCTGTGTAATTTGAGTCTGAGCTCCATAAGCACAGCAGAGCTTCAGATGAGATCACTCATCAATATATCCATATCACCGCTACTTTCAGCCCTCCCCTATCTCCTATTTGCTCTATCCCACTACTCCCTTCTTTCTTTCTCATGCTCTCTTTCTCCTCTTACGCTCACCTTGTCTCCCCCCTTTTTTTTCCCTCCACGACTTCCTCTCTCTCTCGTCCTCTCCCACCTTGCTAACAATCTCTGCATTGTTAATCTCTAATCCCTCTCTCTCTCTGTCCAGGCTGGAGTCTCTTTGTGTTATCCAGGACTCTAGTGATAATAAATTCACAGGCAGAAATCAAGATTTTTAACCTTTGTTTGTTGGAAAGATATTAATAGCTGAAAGACATTTGATTCAAAGGATGTTGATTTTAGGTTGTTAGTTTCAGAATTTAACTTTATAAGTATAATAATAATATACACTACTGTTCAAAAGATTGAGGTCATTAAGACTTTTTAAAATGTTTTTGAAAGAAGTCTTCTGCTCACCAAGGCTGCATTTATTTTTTGATAAACAGTAATTGTGAACGTTATTTCTTTTACTTTTTTTATTTTAATATATATCTTTCTTTCTTTCTTTCTGTGATTGCAAAGCTGAACTTTCAGCAGTCATTAATCCAGTCTTCAGTGTCACATGAAATAATTCAGAAATAATTATGATAATTAAATAATTATTGTGCTGATGTTGTGCTCAAAAAACATTTCCTATTATTATCAATGTCAAAAACTAATTTTTGTGGAAACCATTATACATTTTTTTCAGGGTTCTTTGATGAATAGAGAGTTCAAATAAAAAGCACTTATTTGAAACTGTTTGTAACAATAAAAAGGTTTTTATTGCCACTTTTAATAAATGTAATACATTCTTTCTGAATAAAAGCATTCATTACTTTCAAAACTGACCCCAGTTCGAAATATTGAACGATAGTGTATTTTTTTTAATAACATTTTGCTAATCTATTGTTTTTGTCCCAGCTAAGCAAAGATCAGCTGATTGATCAATATTTAAACAACAGCCTATACAGCTCAGCTTTGGATGGCACATACACTGGGTAAAAAGTTATATTGCATTACATTAAATTTGTGCACACAGTCTTCTGTCTTTCTCTTTTGTTTACTCTTGTTATCTTGCAGGCTCTCAAGTTATAAATGTGACTCTATCTCGCCGCTCGATGACTTGGCGTTTGACATGTATCAGGACCCCGAGGTGGCCCATATCATTCGACTGCTGGACCAGAAAAAACAGGACATGGTTCGGGAGGAAAGATTTGAACTGGCCAAAAAACTCAAACAAGCTATCGCAGACCTGCAAAAGGTTATTAAGTTGGCCTTCTTTGTCTGACACATCTTTGTTTGCACATGTAGTTTAATAATAATGTTACACACTGGAGATGTGAACCTGGAATTGAGAGGGTTGAAATGCATCCAGGTGTATTCTAATAGAGCTGTGGCATTCCATTAGGTACCTGTTAATTATAGCCTGACAGTGATTACTAAGCAAATTACAAGTGTCTTCTTTTTTTTTTTAAACCTCAGATAAGTGTTTAACAACCTCTCATCCCCTATTTTCTCTTTTTCTTTTTAGGTGGGCGAGCGTTTGGGCCGGTATGATGTGGAGAAACACAGTGCCATAGAACGAGAGGACTATGACACAGCTAAGCAGAAAAAGGAACAATTGGAAGCTTACAGGCTCACAGTCTACCAGCAGCTGGAGCTCCACGACCTGCTGGACATCAGTCAGGTAAACATCCAACCATCCATCCACATATACACTACTGTTCAAAATTTTAGGGTCAATAAGATTTTTAAAATAAAATGTATGCTTTTATTCATCAAGGATGCATTAAATTGACCAAAAGTGCCAGTAAAGGCATTTGCAACGTTATAAAAAATAATTTGAACTTTCTATTAATCAAAGAATCCTTTAAAAAAAATCATGATTTCCACAAAAATGTTAAGGAGCAACTTTTTTCAACATTGGTAATAAATGTTTCTTTAGCACAAAATCAGCATATTAGAATGATTTCTGAAGGATCATGTGACAATGAAGACTGGAGTAATGGCTGCTAAAAAACTTTGCCACCACAGAATTACATTACATTTTAAAATTATATTAAAATAGAAAACAGTTATTATAAATTGTAATAATATTTTACAATATTACACAATATTTTAACAAATGTAGCCGCGATGAGACTTCTTATATATAAAAAAAATCCAACAGAGGTGTCCATCCATCCATTGCACTTCTCAGAACGTCAGTTAATGACATCCATTCGTCCATCCATATTCTTGTGTGTCTCTTTTAATTTCTTCTCCTGCAATGAATGCATGAATAAAGCATCTCTTGTGTTGTGAGGGCCTCTAGCTCCAGTGAGATTAGTACTCTGATATGGCAGTTTCCCAGCTGAATAATGATTGTGCTGGTTCTCCTGAGATCAGGTGCTTGCTTCTTACTCGTCTGAGGCCAAGAGACACATTTATACAGCAGACAATAAATGACTTGGACAGTCATAGTGCGCTCTGTTTGTTTATGGCAAGCACTTGTGTTCTGCCTGTGTTCTGACAAACCTTTATCTGTAGCGTGTGATTATTTTTTTCATACAATCAGTGTCTGAAAAATAATAGGTTAAGGTTCTTAACATTTATTAGCCTTTTAATCATTTCAGACTTATTTTTTTATTTTATTTTGATAAATAGCTTTTATGAACTTTGATTAAAATGTAAATAAATTTATAAAACTTTTCAGATCCACAGAATTTCCGAGGTTTCCAACTCTGAATTTCCCTCTCCACGTGTTGGTACACAGAAACACGCGCCTCATCCAGCAGACTCACCCAGGAAGAGAAGACAGAGGCAACATGTGAAGGAGACAGATGAGCAGGACACTTCAGAAGCAGCTAGCCCCAAACATACAGTCGCCCCAACACCCCTCACTCCTCCTCACTTCCCCAAGATCGATGTAAGTATTGATGTACACAGAATAAACAACCATATAAGAAAAAGAAAGTATGATGTTATTGTTCTAATGTGTTACTTGTGTTCGCTTTTTTTCTCGTTCATTAATATATCTTATCACATATGGTAATTTTAAGGGTGCTTTTTGCTGTAATCCTCAGTCAGAGTTATCTGCCTTGATGAAACGCGGCTTCTGTTCCTTTCCACCAGTGTAGCTCTATCTTCACTGGCACAAGGCTCTTTGTAGATTTATTATCTAAACGTGTGTGGCTTAACATGCATGTCAGGGATTTGCATTAGCTAGAGAGTTTTACATTTCAAGATTTAATTAAAGGGTTTAATGGTGAAGTGTGTAATTTTTGTGCTACTAACTTAGTACTGCCATAAACCATGCCAGAGGTCGAAATGTTTACACACTTCTGGAAAATATTTTAACCAAAAAAAATGACATGCATCCTCTTTAAATCTACAGCTGTCTTTGCAAACCTCTTCATTCAGCCTGAATTAGCCTTTTCTGAATTTAAGCACTCTCTTACATATGTACATTACCATTGAAAAGTTTGGGATCAATATATATTTATATATAATATATATATATATTTATAAATTAAGAAAAGTGGCAGTAAAGACATTTATAATGTTACAAAAGACTTCCTTTTCAAATAAATGCTTTTGTTTTGAACTTTCTATGCATCTAAGAATTCTAAAAAATGTAAATGGTTTGAACTGTAGTGTGTATATTTAAGAATAAAATTATCAAGGGGTTATGTAACTGTCAGATGACTTAGTCAGACTTTTCTTAGTGCACCTTTCATTTTTGTTTTTCTGCAGGTCATTCTGTTAATCAGCTTTGAAATAACATGTAAGATGAGAACACAGTTAGTGATTGAAAATTATAGGATGGCAGGTGGATCTGTCTTTCCAGTGTAAAATAAACTGTACAGTATTTAAATTTCTGCATATGACAGAAAGTACGAAAATAATGTTAAAGTATTAGTTATTTTATGCATTTAATTCTGTTTTTAACAATTATTCCTGCTGGGAATGTTTTGTATATCTGATTGCATTTTAACTTTTTGGATTCATGGAATCATCATGTGTGTATTTTCACAGATCAGTTCCCTTCCTTATGATGAGAGGCCTTTACCTGCTCTTAGGAAGAGGTCGAGTGATCAGCCAGTCAGTGAGCTCGATGAGATGCCCCCTCTGACAGACACAGCCACCCCATGTAGCCCTGGGGCCGCAGGACAACCAGAACCGCTCACAGAGAAAGCTCAGAGAGAGGCCAGTCTGCCCATTGACATCTGTGGAGACAGTCTGGTGAGACACTCAACATTTACAGCCTCCAGTTAATCGATTTTAGTATTTACAAAACTGGTATAAATTATTTGTTTCAAATAATACTGATCTGATTCTCAAGTTTGAAATAGTCATATTGGTTTGGACTCGGAGTAACATGAAGTTAAGTTAATTATGGCAGAATTTCAGTTTTTGGGAGAATTATCCTTTTAAGTATTTAACACTTTGCTGTGATGTCCATATATAACTGTTGTTTACTGTCTCACAGCACTGGGCAAACTCTATGTGTCAAGTGGTCAGCTGGTGTATTTTGTTAGTATGCTGTTTCTGGAATGTAATCTTCACTTTCTCTTTCTCGGTCTGTCTCTCAAAGGTGGCAGGGGCCTATTCCAAGACATGGTCCTACAGGGAGGATGCTTTGCTGACAGTCTACAAGAAACTGTTGGAGGTTCCATCTGGAACCCCAAAAGCAGAACTGCGGAGCATGACTAGAGCAGCTGTGTTCCTCTGCAAGAAAGCTCTCACAGATAAAGTGTCATCTGTACGAGAACTCCCTCTCTATCTTTATTTTGCCCAGTCTTTTTCTCTGATTTTATCACTCCCCTTCTTTTGTTTCTCGACCTCTCCTACTCTCTTTCTTTCTCGCATCCTCTCTTTCTAATTTCTCTCATGTTCTCTTCTTTTCATTTTCGTTTCAGGCTAAAGACAGAATGGCACCATCAGCACGACAGATAGTTGTGACTGTTTAGCAGGTGTCGTGTTCTGTCTAGTATTGTGGATTATCTGTAGAAGTGATACAGCAACAAATGTAGTGGAAAGCTTGGCTTATCTCTCCCATGGGTGAACTTAGCCAGGTTTTCTACTAACAGTGGGTATGAGGGGGAGAAGACGGACCAACTGTAGAAAAAACAGGAGATTTGGATAAATCGTAATGCTCAGTATGGCGGCTGTAGAATGAGAGTTTCTTACAGTTGAAAAAGCCAATTTCTTTTTTTGATAGAGACATCGACTGTCATTTTTTTATTTTTTGTAGAACTTTCACACATATTACCTGGACCTGCCTGAAAAACAAACTAATAAATCTTGCAGTCTATGGTGTTACAAACTATCATCATTTTAATAGTGACTTCTATTAACCATGGCCTAGCACTTTAAATAACTAAATAAGAGTATCATTTAGTTTTATAGAGTAACTTTATTGGGAACTGTAACATAAATGTTTTTTAAATGGAATTGTAAAACTGACAGTCTGACCCTTTCTGATATAAGGGAAGCGATTGATTAAAATGAAAGACATACAAACCGTCTACTAAAGAAAATATTTAAAACTTTTTACCTTGGTGGTAAATTTAGCAAGGAAGTCGTGGCCTAATGGTTAGAGAGTCGGGCTCGTAACCCAAAGGTTGCGGGTTCGAGTCTCGTACCGGCAGGGATTGTAGGTGGGGGGAGTGAATGTACAGCGCTCTCTCCCACCTTCAATACCACGACTGAGGTGCCCTTGAGCAAGGCACCGAACCCCCAACTGCTCCCCGGGCGCCGCAGCAAAAAAAATGGCTGCCCACTGCTCCGGGTGTGTGTTCACGGTGTGTGTGTGTTCACTGCTGTGTGTGTGTACTTTGGATGGGATAAATGCAGAGCACTAATTCCAAGTATGTGTCACAATGTCACGTCAAATGAAAATATGAGGAACACAATCTGTAACTGTTTGTTATAAATATGAACAAAACAGCTAAATGTTATAGGCACAAAATCAAATAATATATATATATATTTAAATATTCAGGCTCTTACTGTTGCGTTTTTTACAATTTGCCATGACATTGAGTTTAACGTGTATTAATGAACGTTTAGCTGTTTTTTTTTTTTTTTTTTGCATATAAATGGATCACTTTCTGACTCTCTGATTCTCAAAGCACATGCATGTTTGAGGTTGTGGCGTGACAGCTGTTTTTTATTGTCCTGTCAGGCCTTAGATAAATCACTCACAGTAAAAGTCGTGGCCTTTCAGAGTTTCATTCTAAACTTTTTTAAATGGTTGTACTGAGAGTTTGAACAATGTGCCCACTGCTGGACACATTCCAGTGACCCTCTCCCCACGGTTATTTAGTTAAACTCATAGCACAGCATTTAACTGTGTGCTTTAGCTGACCTGTCGGTGTTACTCTGCGCCATGTGTTGCTGTAAAGGCCTTAGGTGGTTTCTTACACAGCTTCTGTGTATAATTGCACCTTAAAACTGCAATTCTGAGGAAAAATTATTCCAGATGGTTCTAAAATAAACATGCCGTGTTAATGAATACATTTCAAAAAGTAATATTCAGTATTTTTCTTGGGTTAGATGGCCATTTGTAGTGGGTACACAGAGGTTCTTACATGAAGAAGTTGTTTATAAACACCATAGAATCTCTTAAACTCTGTCAAGGGAGGTAAAAGTTGCTTTTTTAAATGAAGATACAGAAAGTCTGAAAATAAATTATAGAATATAATATGAAATGTGACAATATTGAATATAAACCCTGCATATGTATTTTAGTGTGTAAAACACTGTCTGTATTTGTATTGCATTTTAGGTGTTTCTTGCATCTCTGAATCTACTTCGAATGATTCTGAGTGAGTTTATTCCCAACCATCAGCTGGGCAAATCTGAGATCAGTCACTGTGTGGAACAGACTTGGAATAATCTGCTCTCCAGGACCGGAGAATCAACCCTGAGACTGAGAACCCTAGCTATTACCTTCATACAGGTCAGTACAGACTTTTGAAATCCCTTATCTGTATACATCTGTAATGAAGCGACTCCTGCAGCTATTGGGGTCATTGAGTGTGATGTTGTGAAATTCCACTCAAAAAATGTCAAAAGAAAAACATATCCAGTTGACTAGAAAAACATTTCTTGATGACCTGACTTGCTGAGAATCTTCATAGATGACTGGGAGTGCATCATATATACTGGTGACCTTGTGAAGTGAACTTAACCGTGAACTGGAATTGTCAAATATTTGTGGCTTTCTGTTAGCATGAGTAGAGATCTTGTCTTTTACTGTAACCCTGCTATGAGATTTCCTCATTTCAATCTGCCAGATTTTGTCTGAACAATTTCATAAACAGGTCTGGGCACAAAACACTTTAAAAAGACTCATGAAGAGAGTTTTGTGGCTTCTCATCCATATCTATTAGCTCTGTGGCCTTCTTAATTCGATTGAACTCCTTAAAGTTAACAAAACATTTTTTTAGCAGGTAGAGCTTCTAATATAACATTTAATTTGTGGAAAAAGGATAAAAAAATATTCAATGGCATATCTGAAATTTTTATCCAATAAAATGTTCTCTAGAATGGGAAAAAATTTCCCTATTGCTAATTCAGTGTGCTTCTGACAACAAAAAAGTAGTAAATTATTGTTCACGACCTTTCCGTACTTCTGTGTATCATACTTTTATGTGTGACATCAGTCTTACAGACCTAGATAATGCGATTGCATTTCAGTATTTACGTTAATCTGACTACAATTGACTATGCAAAACCATGCTGTAGCTCCATTGTAACTGTGCATGTAAATGTACGTTCTTTTATACATATTGATAACCAGTGGTACGACCACAATATAAATTTTTTTAGCAGATTGTGTATAAGAAATATAAAGTATTCGCTATTAAAAAAGCTGGAGATTGTGACCCAGACAGATCAACTTGTTGTTCAGATAAATATCATGCGGAAAAAAGGCTGAAGTACTTTGTCTTGTGACAGTCATCATGATCTGTGTGATAAGGATGGGAATGTTTAAGGTTCCTGGAAAATTGAGGATGTTTTAAAGTGTTCTGACTGACAGACACTGATTTGTGTTGGTTTTGGTTGTTGATAGACAGGTTGTGTCTCTGTCAGCATTGTGTAAAACTTTGTTGTATTTTGCACTGTATAAATAAAGACATTTGTGACTCATGCATCTGGATGGTGGAAAAAGTACATCAAAGGCAACACCTTGTTATGAATAATTTGATGATGTACTCTGACTGATACCAATGCTGTATAATATAAATCACACAGCCCAATATTATGTTAAATCATAATCACTCATTATTGATTAAGTACCCAAAATATCATCCTCAACCATCTTCTAGAAATAACGCATGCAATCATTGCAGAGTTTAACATTATGCAAATGAGCAATGATGTAATCACCAATGGGATTTTGTCAAAAACAAAGTTATCCAGAAAATGGCAGAAGTCTGGGGAAAGTTTGAGTTCTCCATTAGTATCTCGTTTATGATGCAGTATGCTGCATGATGATAAATACAACACATTTCTGTCCAGAATATTAAAAAATATAAAAATATTTTTAGCATCAAGAAAAGCTGATTCATTGTCAAAGTAGAATAACATCCTTTTTTATGTTTGCTTTATTCATTTGTGTTCATATGTGCAGCCGCTATGGTTAGTTGTGCTGCCTACTAATAATGATAGAGCAGCCAGCAGTGGGAACACTTACTACCAAATGTACAGCAAACCTGCTGGCCTCCAGTGATAAAATCGCTGAAAAAAAAGAGAATTTATAAATGCGTAAGAAAGAGTGTGTGTTGTAACTTGAATGCTGTTATGTTTAAAGCTGGCTTGCGTGTTTGTTTTTGCAGGAAATGGCATTATTTAAGGAGGTGAGAGCTCTGCAGATGGTTCCCGTGGAGCTCGTGAGGCCCATGCAGAGCAGTGCACCCACCAGACTGGCGCTGAGCAGACTGGAACTGCTGGAGAAGCTTCTGGAACAGCTGGGCACCAAGGACTCTGGCTTCACCCTCGACAACGTCATGCGGGTACTGGCCCAACTTCAACTTTTTCTGAGATGATCTCACTGGGTGTCAACCCAATGGCCTTCTGCTCAGTCAAGCTTTAAGTTTAAAAAAGATTTTTTGAACTACAGTTTTAAAGTAGTAGCTTAAAAAATTGCAAATGGCTGGTTAGATTTATTGAAAACATGATACAGTTATGTACTGGTCTTGAGACCACACACTCTTGACTGCCATTAGGTGCCAGCTGTGGTGGTGAATGTTTGCAGTTGGGTGCATGTACAAACCCAAACTGTGCTTTAGCATCTAAGACCACAAACAAATATTTGACATTTGGGGTTTTATTGGCCAAAATAACACAAATTTAACCTTTCTGTTGGGATCTGAAGGTTAATTTCATTCTCACAGCTATCATTAGGATTCTTGAGGGCTTCATTAGACTTGAAACAAAGTGGCCTTTGTATGACAGAGAGGGCATAGTCAACCCTACGTAATGTCTGTTACCATTAGTTTCTTAAAAGGGCTGTTCTGACAGCCAGTTACATATCCATGGCATAGTTTATGAAAGTCATCCAAGCACTGTCTCATTCTCTCTCTCTGTCCCAGCAGTTAGTTGTACAAAGTGGTTAAGCTGTTAAAATTGCAGTTCCTTAGGGTCTTATTTTCATCAGGGTCTTAGTTGTCTTAGACAGTTTTCTCTTTTTGTTTTGTTTTTTCTTTTGGGACCTGTGCAGTTTGAAGTATGTTTGCAGTGCAAACTTGTGGCACTACTACAACAGAGACTGTGAAATTTCACAAGGAACTGCAAAGTGCACTGTGAGGTTTCGTTTCTGTCTGTGTTCCAGTGGGCTTCTGGTTTTGCTTGTTATCTTGGAAGGTTTATGTCACCACACCTAGGTGGCCTGAAGCCTCATTTTCCTCCACATGGTTTAGTTAGGTGGGTAATGGTATCATATCAGTTATAATGCAATGTTAGAGAGTTTTTAAAATATATTTTTTTGTTTTTTTTTGAGTATATTTTATATATTTTTAGATATTGGATTTAATTGTTAATATTGAATTGTGCATGCTCATTTCCCCTTTTTACACTAGGTAAAAATGCTAAATGCAAAAAAATGTTAAACATCTCAAAATAAATATCCACTTTTTATACTGCACATTTATGTTTTTGTATGGCCTAAATTCACTTGTGGATAGGGATGTAACGGTATGAAAATTTCTTATCACGGTTATCAGTATTATCACGGTTTGGTTAAAATGTGCTGGAAATGTTCAAAAAGTACCAACACATAAATCACTTCACCAAGTTTTATATTTAAAAATCAACAAACAACAAATAAAATGACTTTTTGTTTGCATAATCACTAAAACAATTACATTACCAATGATGTTCGGATTTTAAATGACAACTTGACTGACAACAGTTTAATAGCATGTTCAAATATCTAATGAAAATGTTCAAATAAAACTTTGAAAAGGTTTAATAAAAAGGTAAACCTCACATTTCAGCCTTTAAATAAAGAAAAGAGTTGAGTCAAAATGATAATTGATTAATAAATGATTATATGTATTTTATCTGCTCCATAAATAATTGTAGATAACTTATCTGAATTGTTTAAGTGTGTAGAACCCACATAAGCTTGTTTTTCATCAACCGGTCAAAATTTACAGCAGGGCATGGAAATTCGGTCCGTTTTTGGCCAGACAGAAACTGCACACAGGCTGTGTGTAAATATAAGTCTCTGTAAATCCACTCACTGACAGCAGGTGGCGCTTATGGAAAATCTGAATTAGAGCTCTTTCCCGTAACCTCCGTGGACAAAGACAAATCGCAGTAATCTAATATTTACTTACGAAAAACGCAGCACAGTAAAAAATATTTTAAAAATTGTAGTCCGTTACTGATTCCAAGTTACATGACCAAAATTTTAGTAACGTAATCCATTACGCATTTTAAGTAACATAATCAGACTACTTTTAGATTACTTTTGACGTAACACGTTCGTTCGTAAAGATACTTAAAGGTTCATGACTTTAATGAAAAGCTACTAATAAAATCATAAAAATGTTATAAAATAGAATAACAACAATCAAAACACTTCCTAAATGAGACGAAATATTAAATTTGTTTACCTGCATGTCATGTGACCATTAACCAACGTCAGAGAACCATGAACATGCAAACGTGTTAATTATTAACTTATTACATTTAAATCTCAGGGGTACTTCAATAAATACATTAGATTAGGCAAAAAAGTTTGGCAATCTCTGCATTACGTGTAAATAAGAAATGACGTGAATTTGTTTGAAGGACAAAAGCCTTCCAAAGACAGTAAAACATGGTTAAATATATCCCATAATTAAAATAAAAATCAACGTTTTCATCAGTAGTTGATGCAATGTTGAAAAAACAAAATTGAAATGATTTTTGTAAATCCATTGGTCAAATGCTGTGTATTTTCTGTGTAATTATAGTCACCTGACTACTAGTGACTGTCTTTGCGTGAATGTTTGCAAAACTGGAAGACTTTCTGAATGTATAAGATAAAAGATTTAAAAGATAAAAAAAAAATGAGGGAGAATCAATGAATTATGAATAAATTATTGCTATTGTGTGAATAATATGTAATCATGTAATCAATAAAAGGTTTTAATGATAATTAAAATATGAAACGGTAATACTAACCTTCGGGAATTTTATCATGATTTATCATCAAACCGGTAATCGTTACATCCCTACTTGTGGAATATGAAATGTTTGATTTTATTTTTTAGTGTTTAGTGCTAAATTAGCAAAATAGGGCTGCATTTTAATATTGGCCATTTATTGTTATTGGCCATAACAATAAATAATTATCAGCTTATCTGTATCAGCCAGAATTTTCATATCGTTGGATCCCTATAATGGGATTTATGGACTGGATACTAAAGGGGTTAGTTAACCGAAAAATTAGTATCATCTCATCATTTATACACCCTCATGTTGTTTAAAACCTGTATGACATTCTTTCTTTCATGAGTCTTATGGACCACTTGTGGACTTAAAAAAAAAAAAACCTTTTTGGAGCTTGACAGATGCAGGCCATAGTATGCTTATGTTGTATAGATTAAAGCAGTCTGGACTTAGTCATACAGGTTTGGAACAACTTGAAGAACAGTAACAGTACAGTATTTTGTAAACTATTTCTTTAAGAGATATTTTTGCAATTATCACCAATGAATCAGCTCCCAAATGTCCTTTTAAAAAATGAACTTTCTGTTAGTTTGGTCTTTTTCATTGGTGATCTCCCACGAAATGGTTGCTGTAGGTTACTTGCAGGGATGGCTGCTAAATGCCTCCTGCCTGCTGGTTTCCTGGGAGATGAGATGGGCTTCAGGGCACAGCAGAGAGGCGATTGGGTTTCCTGTAATTAAAATGAGAGATCCAGAGCCTAGGGGCAGATGAATGGGATCTGTGTATGGAGAACGGGAGAGAGAAAGTGAGGGACAAATATTTGGAATATAATGCAAATGTTTTACAGAATGTAAAAATATATGTTTAGTTATTATCAGTGTTCAAAACAGTGCTGCTTAATATTTTTGTGGAAACCATGAAACATTTTTTCAGGATTCTTAGATCTTACTAGATAAATCTTACTGAAAAGCTTTAACAGTAGTGCATCTATTCTAAAATCACTTGATTATATTTAAATGAATGAATAATTAAATATATTTGTGTGTGATGTATGTTGTGTTAGTTTCTGGCAGGTGGATTGGAGCACAGCGCTGCCTCAGTGCGGGAACTCTCTGTGAGAGTTGTCCAGGCTATGTACCATCTTCATGGAAAAGCAGTTCTGAATTATCTGCCACCTGATGACACCAGCACACGTAAAAATGTCCTCTACAAGAACCTTTTTGACTCACTTGCCAAGTTAGATGGAAACACCATCAATACACAGGTAAAACCGGTCTGGAGAGCATCGTTAGCCTTATGTTTCATGATTAAAACGCTTGGAATGTTTGTGTGTGGGCTTTTTTTGAGAATGTGGGGATACTGCATTCAGTTTAAAGAGTCTCTCTGTCTCACTATTTTACTCCAGAAGCCACAAAAAGGGGCAGAAAAAGGAGATGGTGAGAAAGAAAAAGAGGAAATCAGGAGCTTACAAGAGCAGCTTGCAGTGCTGAAGGAGATCAGTGTAGGTTGAATGGTCACAGGTGGCCTAATCTATCCTTTCTATTTAGTTTTTAATGCTCTCACACAAAATGGCTTTCTTCACACCTGGCATTAACATTTTCGTATCTGGAAGTTCTTTAGCTAGATTGCACCTGGGCTGAATGACTGCAGAGTGAATCTCTGTCAGCACATTGAGCCCTTTTGGTCATCAAATGTACATATAGATGAATTCATAAATGCATTAAATATGTGAATATGTGTTTTAGGAGAAAGGGAAAGAAAATACCAAAGTACCTGAGAAAAAAGCTGAGAAGGCAACCAAATCAGGTGTGTAAAGTGGTGTCTTTTGTGAACTATCTCAGTAAAGATCCATTAAAAAATTTCCTTGCAGCAAACACTGCAAATCATGCACAAGCTAGTCTTTCGGCCTGCCAACGTTTGTTCTTCATGTTTTTGTTTTAAGGCTTAACTTGTCACCATGTTAAATTATCGAGTTGAAAGAATATAAAGGATCAAAAATATATGTAAGGGCTTCCAATCAAAATGTCTGATGGGACATTTTTTCAACTAAACCTGCCACAGTCACATATCTTTGTATCTGTCTTTTAGCTTGGATGTCTGTATGCCCTTCTTTGTATTCGCTTATGTTACTTTAGTCAAATGATAAAAACAGTGAGAATCAGACCATTGTACTTTCTTTATTCTCTCTAAAGCATGCATTGCTATGCACTTCCTTAAATTGCCATCCAATTTGCCAGTAACTCAACAAACTTCCCTGCTTGTGCAGCCTACACATCAATATTAACCCTCAGTTTCGGTTTGGTAACCGAGAGGGGCCCATTTAATAGCTTGAAAATATATATTTAACATTGAAATCCCTTAAAATGAAAACTGAAAAAGCTCATTCAAAATATGAATAAATACTATAATATTATATAAATAAACAACACTGGTACATCAGTGTAAATTCAGTCTGAGCAGAATGTGAGGGTTCAATATGTTTCTCTTGGTTTCCGCAGGTGTTAAGAAGGTAAACCAGTCTGTACCTGCTGATGTGAAAGGCAGCGAACCATCTGTAGCTAACTTCTTAGACAAGTAAGCACTTCTTCTTGTCACTTCTTCATTGATTCTCTCAACTGAGCGGTTAGTAATTCTCCCAGTCAGTGGAATGTCAATTTGTGGAGAGTTTCTGGTTCAGTGCCACTCTGCAAAGTCAAGTTTTTGTATTGTGTAGCTGTTATAAACCAAATAATATAATCTCACCAAGACATCTGGAAAGTGAAGGCATAATAAGCAGTGCTAATGGGCTCTCGTTTAATCAATTTCTCTTTGTACTGCTGGGAAAAAAATCTTAATAACATGTTGAGTGAGAAATGAAGGATCAAATCAGATGATGCTGGTGCTGTTTTGTATAGTCTGTGTATTTTCTGTGGAGAGAGAGATGAATCATTCACTGAGGACGGACTCGACCTGCACTACTGGAAACACTGTCCGATGCTGCAGCGCTGCCTTCAGTGCAGACAGGTACACACACACACGTGCGCTGTCATATTTCAAAATATTTCATATTGGTTAAACTACTTCTCAATTTGCAAAGTGTGTTAATGTAGTATGTTTGTGTGTTTGTTAGGTGGTGGAGATTGCAAGCCTGACAGAGCACTTGCTGACTGAATGTGAGCGGCGGGCAGATTTCACCCAGTGTCCTCTCTGCTCCGAAGCTCTCACCCGAGATAAGCTAACTGAACATGCTCAAAGCGCTGCATGCAATCGTGAGTCTTTGTGTGGTTGCAGTGTTTTTGTTTCATGCTCATCCAGAAAGCACACTCAGTGCTGTTACAAATGTGATACCAGGGTACAAAATTAACATTTGGCAGGTGAATTGAGGTAATGGCATTTTTTTTCTTTTTGGCCATGAAATTCTAATTTAGATTATTTTTATATGATGAAACATATACTCTACAGGGATTTTGTCCTTACAACAGTATTATTTTTTATCTGTTGATTTTCTTGCACATTTGTGATGAACAGTACTGCTTATTGAGTCATTTGCCACATCAGATACTAATTGTCTCCTCTCTGTAAAGCACAGACAATTTTGTATTTTCCTCCTACTTCCATTTAGACAGGTTAATGAGAAGAATATTTTACGTCACCACATGGATTTCTTAAGAAAACAACAACAACATTCCACTCAGATAATAGGCATAAGAAGATTTAAAAATGTGTATTATCTTTCAGTTCCCAAATATTATCACAGACGAGTAACTGCACCTTTTTACACGCTTTAACTTGCATTTGGTGCTTGGCATGTGTTAATTTTGGTCCCTTTGTGTCGCACTCTTATTATACATAAAAATCCGAGAAGACAGCCACTCTGTCATCAGATCTGTTCATCCATATGAAGTTTACACGTTCACATGACAGTGTCACTAGAAATAACCTTTCACAACTGCAGATTTATTTCCGATCAGTGTTGTGTTGTTTCTGTAAATGGTGAATTTTCTGCATTTATTTAGCTGTGTTTCCTGGTGATGGATTTATTCTCTTTTTTGTCAGCAACCGCTTCTGGAGAAAATTGTAACCACTGTCCTCTCTGCCATGAAAACGTCACCTCAGGGGAGGAGGTGAGATCACACACAAACACACCCACAAGGTGCCAGTCTACATCCTCAACTCATTTATTGTCATTAACAACAAAATAACAAACAAACCTGGTGCACAAATGCAATCTGCCACAACAGTAATGATTGAAATGAATTTAAAGGGTTAGTTCACCCAAAAATGAAAATTCTGTCATTACTTCAACAATTTGTCTCCTCCGAGTCACCCTTGCGCCATTTTGGAGAGTATCCACTGAACGCAAACAGCGTATGTTGTTCTGTGTCAGCCGCACCACACGGATGGTGTGTCGTGGTACGTTGATCGTGTAAGGACCCTTGCTGTCTATGGGAGGGTCAGACAGCTCTCAGATTCCATCAAAAATATCTTAATTTGTGTTCCGAAGATGAACGGAGGTCTTGCGGGTTTGGAACAACATGAGGGCGAGTAATTAATGACAGAATTTTCATTTTTGGGTGAACTATCCCTTTAAATTAGTTATCCATCACAAAGAACTTGAAAAGTTCTTGGTGTATTTTATTTCTCTGTTTCATGTCATACAGATGAGCTCATGACTGTGAATGACAGTAGAGAGGTGTTCTCTTAAGAGTCATTTACCTCTCAGCTCTGAAAAGTCACATGAAGTACTGCCTCCAGCTGATAAACAATGTTTTACGTATTCAGGGTTTGACGTGTCTTCTGTGTCAAATTAATGACGTCATGTACCACAAAAACTCATATTGTTCAAATCGTAAACCTGTTTTTGTGAGGGTTACACTGTCCCTGAAATACAGTGTGAGCTTTTGTTTTCTACACAGTCCTGTTAAGATAAAGAGAATGATGCATACCAATATGTGAAGAATTCACTTCTGACGTTGAACAAATTATTACATAAAAAGAGATACAGTTGTCAGTATCTTTAAAGATATCAATTTTCTTTGATTAATTTTAATGGACACAACTGATGTCGTCATTGCAGTATGCCAAAAATAAATAGATAAATATTTAGTCTTTGTCACTCATAATTCATGATTTCCTTTTATTTATTATTTTTTTTATTTATTAATATTTTGAATTGGGTTTTATTGTTATATATTTTTAAGTTTTAGTAATTGTATGTGCTTTTGTAACACACACATATATATATATACAATTTTAATTTACAATAACAACACTGGTTCAGGAAATGCATTTGTTTTTCTTGACTTGTAAGAGCTCTTTTGCTAGAAAGACATTGTTAGCACATACATCATTCAGTCTGAAATGACATAAACAGCAGAATATCACTAGATGTGATGTAAGGAGTTTCCAATATTTAAGAGCCGATATTATTTCTGAGGTTTAAGAATATAAGAACACTGATATGATATCAAAACTGAAACCAACTCCATAGGTAGAGGTTATTAACATGAGCAGCCATGATGATAAGTGAATGACTCCAGTATTAAAGTGAGTATTAAAGTCTCTCTCACACACATGTTGCTTGTACAGCAGTGTAACAGTGCATGTCTTGTATGTGCAGGGCTGGAAGTCTCACCTCATGGGAATTGAGGGTTGTAAACAGAACTCACGGAGGAGAGCGGTACAGCAGAGCACTCTCACACACGCACAAGGTGATTATTCATCTCCTTTAGCCTCAATGAGACCTTTCCACCCCACACTGTCTCCTACAAGTCCCTGATGCCCCATAAAGCCCCTATAGATCCCAGATGCCCCACACAGCCTCCACAACATCCGCTCTGCCGTACAGGAGCCCATCTGCCTCACACAACCTCAATTCCACCTCAAAGAGTCCCACAATGCCCCATCCTCCCCACACACACTGACTCTGAATGGACTGTTCTTTATATTAATATTTTGAATACTGTGTTTACTTTGGCTAAACTATGCAGCATCGCACAATGCATTTCTCATTAACTCCTCAGGTGTTTGTGTGTTTGCATTTCTCTTATTCTTTGCCTTCAGGAAAGACAGTCAGCACAGCTATAGCTAAGACAACAACGGTCATATCCGAGTCCAAGACTCGAGGGCTGGGCAGAGGCAGTCGCATCCCCGCTCCTGCTTCTAGGATCAACAGACGCACCAGAATTCCTCCAGGCAAGGCCTCTACCCACAGACTACAACAGGCATAGCACATGGGCTAAATGCTAACTCTAGTAGCTTTGCTGTAATAATCTCATATGAGTGATTCATAGCGAAAAAACACAATCTACTTTATATCAAGTTATCAAATAATGCATTATTGCACTTATTGCTGTACTGATTTAGAAATATTCCTATAAGACACGGCATCATTATTCTAAGCACACATTATCATTGACACCTGATATAAAATTTACCCATAAATGAATGTAAATCTCTATTTAATTTAATGTATTTGAGAATTTTATTCTTGTATGTTGTTTTGTACTTGTTTGTTTACTGTGTGTGTGGAGTATGTGAATATTTAGTGATTGTAGCACTTTGATATTTAAAGGTTTTTAAAGCATCATTAGCACCATAGCCAAAAGTGAAAAGTAGCCTTTGAAAAGAAAGTAAACAATTCTGTCCAAGAGATTTAAACTTCAGACAGATTCTCATCGTGTCTGATTCCGATAATGCACTTCAATTTCCTGCAGCGCTCGCTTTTCAACATTTAGGTAACAAACTAACAAAAATGTTGTTTTTCTTGAAGAGGGCAAAGGCTAATTAAAGCAGCAGAACTGCCTTGGTGCTTCTCAGAGAATCGGGACTTGGAACAGAGATGTTGCCAATAAATGAGGTCACTGCTGGGAGAATAAAGAGCCATAAGGGATGATGATGCTATTAAGACTCTTATTTCATATGTTTGTTCTTTGTATTTGCTTCAGTATTAGAGAAACTCTTGGCCCTGTTTGTTGGCGCCTAAACTTTTTTTTGTCTAGTGTGTGATGTGTTAAATCACAGGGTATGATCTGCATCAAACTATGCTGTTCTATTGATTGTGTTATAAAAGTAATGATTTAGTCCAGTCATGCTTATAAAATCATTGAGACCGAAGATATGAAACATTATGATAGACAGTCTGAGTGGAATAGGCTGATCCTGTGCCTGAAATATAAGCCATAATGTAACTTTTTAAATTATTTGCATAGAGTGATGATTAAACACAAGTATAAAGTCAGTTTCCCTATTGTGTGAGCCAGGGAGGGAATTTTTAAAGGTACAACCCCAATAGGCTTTAACAGTATGTTAAACCGGAATAAAACAAACCAGTTTAAAACTGATTGTGATCTCAGCAGAGGCGTTTCTTTTTAAGAATGTCTTCTGGAGTCATGGCTGACATTATGCATTGTCTAGCTCCTACAGCTCACCGCTGAGACATCCATTATATATAACTGACATAAATCAACCCCTGCAGACATGATTCACTTATGTGGCTTTATAGAGATGTCTAATATTTAAATATCACTTATTTATTAAATAAGTCAACCTAATCAATTATTTCAGAGTGGAGAGAGTGCTGTAAAAAAACACTCAATTTTTTGCACAGATGACTGACACACATACCCAATAGTATAAATTTTTCAGTCAAAATTTTACATTTTTGTATACTGGTAACATATAGAGTATCATAGATTGTTTTTGTGGAGTAGAGCTTTTTTGTGTTTGCTTTAATTTGGATTTATTTTAGTTACAGTAACAAAATTAAGAAGCACAGCAGAGTTTTGTCTATCATGGTAATCTGGAGGAGGTACCTGAAAATGCTGCACTAATGTGTATTGTCAGTTCTCAAGGACATGATTACAAGCTTCATTTGGGAACACAAAATTAATTTAACGGCCACTTACAAAATACTTTATATGTGCAGTCTTAGTCTGGCCACTTTACATTTTTCACAGGTGTACAGTTCACAGCTTTAATGTTGTCTGTACAGGCTTGTTTGCACTTGCAATGAGACAGTTTAAGACATTGCAAAACAAGAGTTTGAAGATTTATACTGATTGTAATTTGAATTGCGTCACCACATATTAATTATATGCCTCTCAACTCTGTGCATTGATATCAGTGGAAGCTAAAATCTGTTTTGCAGCTTTATTTGTTTGTTTGTTTTAATAAATGTATTTGAATAAAAATTTGTCACTTGCTTGTTTTTTTTGGGGGGGATCTGTAAAAATACTCCATCTGACAAATGTTTGGTTGATGATGTTGAGTGTATGTCATGCCATGTTATTCACCCAAAAATGGAAATGATGCAGATCAATGGAATTTACTCACCCTCATGTCATTTCAAACTTGTATGACTTACTTTCTTCCACGGTACATTATAGAGAACATTTCAATTTAATTACATTAAATTATGTTGAATGGGGAATAAAGATGATGCCAAAAGCACCAAAGGAGTGAATAACGACTTTCAGACTGTTGCTTGCACAAAGCCACTGTATGGCGCAGAATGACTTTAGAATATGTGGAATATAGCGCATAACACGCATTACATTTTTAGAATAGGCTAATCATACGTTTACAGTGCTTAAAAGCTACGATCTCCATTCTATGTAAGAGTCATTAGGAAATTTCTTCTAGTGAATTTCTTGTAGTATTTGGTGCATCATAATATGCATAAAAGTACATTTTATATGTTTCCTATTAGATTAGCTTATGTTTTTATTTTTTTTGGTCAAAAGTCAAATTACAAAAGTGTTATTCTAAACCCCTTAAATTCTAAACATTGTGTGAATTATCTCCTTCTAAAATTGCAACATCATGTTAACAGCTATTAAAAAAAGTAAACACAATAAAAACCACACTAGTGTACATGAAGACAAGTATCAAATATGTAATGAAGGTAGCTCTTTAGTGAAACATTTTCCAGGTTGGGCAAACTTACATGAGTTTTAAGTGTATAAAAGCAATTTATTAATTACATTATTTGTTGGCCAAAACAGGTGTTACATATTTGTGTCTTACCTTTTACATTAGCCTATTCCTATTTGGTGAATTGTTTCGTGCTTGTAGACTACAAGCAACTACAAGTTGTAGTCCAAATATGTCACAAAGGTCCAGCTTAATATGCAATATGCATCTTTTCCCATTTATTTATTCTCTTTTTTTCCGTGGGTTTCACCTTTTTAGCCAAGTCTTTAAGGTATGTGTTTAGAATATAGGCCTACTTGCTCAATGGAGGAAACATTGCGCCAGCTAGCCCCTGTAGGCTTATATAAACAAAAATGGATCGATTTGGGTTGTATTTGTTCCCTGTATTATAAGACCATAACTGAAAGACTTGTAATTTATTAGCCTACATCTGACAGTTGATAACACAAATATTCACCATCTTCATCCTTCCTTACAAAATTACAAAAAAAAAGAACATTGAATGAAAATAACAAAAACGCTTCATTTGAAAAAAAATATCTTAACAGTGTCTTTATAAATACGCATCTTTTCATATTACGACGTGTCTGGCACAGTTCAAGTCCTCGTTTTGAACAAGCGTCCACATTTGCAGCAGCTCCTGCGGACCGAGTTTGTGCACCACGATGAGGTTGCGGAAGAAGCACGGCTCCCGGTTCAGACGAGTCACTTTACGCTTAATGATCCCAAATGTCCTGAAGGCCAGGTGCAGTTCAGGGACGATCTTCAGCTTCTGAAGACACATGCCCAAAAACACATCATCAATGGGGTAAAGCTCCACGCCCTCAGAAACCGCAAAGAGCCTGTGGGCCACCTGAGAGGACATGAGAAATCCTCCCCCACCCAAATAAGGTGGATAGCGTTTATCATACAACTCTTTGGGAATGAAATATTTACTCTGGCGGTTTCTGATCGGTTTGGCTTCTAAAATGGTGTCTCCTACAATGAGGTTTTCCACTCTGTTCTCCTCCACCCGAAAGCCAATTAGTTCCACTAAGTTCTTGGTGTGGACAAAAACGTCATCGTCCCCTTTGAAGACGAAGGGAACTCCACTGCAGTAGATGTTGAACCATCTCAGAAAGTTCACCTCCTTCAAAGTGAGGTTGAAGAAAGTGTCCATAAAGTCCCACTGTAAGATGTCCCCGTAGGTTCGGTCTTCATATTGGACTAGGGCTTGCAAATTTCGTGTGTCTTTGCCAGTGGCCGGAGTGCCTAATAGAAATAGTGTTTTGATTTTCAAGCCCTGGATTTCTTGCTCCTTTCCCCAGGTCTGTCGCACGGCTTCTCGCCGGTCATGTTCTTCAATAACCGATTTGACCACGAGCAGAACATCCACGTCACCGCTACACTTCTCCGGGTGACTCAGCAACATTGGGAAGTATCTGCAATGTCTGTGCAGGACAAATTCGTGGAACCTTGGGTTCAAGCGACGAAACCAGGCTCGAGTCTTCATCGTGGAATTTTCATGACATTTAATACTATTCACGTCCCATTTTGATGGCATGGGTTTTCTTTCCACTGGCGCCAAGCCATTCCCGTGTGATTGGGATGCATTTTCAATGGCCTTTATGCTTTTACATGTGGGTCCACACCATTTGCGTTTCACGTCGACTTTGGTATTTTTAAAATTCGTGTCCACTGTAATTAACCTCTGAAGCATCAGTATAGTGGCAAAAACCAAAGTCAGGCTGACCGCAGTTCTTAAATTCTTTTTCTTTCGAAAGAAGAGTTCCATTACGCACGCGCTCCTCAGAGAGTAGTACATTGCGGATTTGTCATGAAAAGTCAGTCAGGTCCGCTGTAATTAATTGTCCAAGTGTTATGAAAATATAAAAATGAGCGACCAGTCCATAAACAGGCATTGTGATTAAGCTGAAAATCCGTCTTCTCCACTTTCCTCCTGTCAGACGAAGTTTTAGTCCGTTGTCCCGTCATAAATTGTCGCAACAGGTTCTTCTCGCTTCAAGTTCTGCTGCTGAAAATAGGAGGCAGTCATCCTGTAAAACAATAGGCAGTCTGCCCTCCTCTCTCCTCCACCTTCACGACACCTACCTGCTATAGGCTCTCTGGTTACACACGACAGCTGTGCAAGCGTAATAAATGAGTGTCCCCAAGAAGAGTTTGAATGAGAACTACTTACTTATTCAATGTATGTAAATATTGGAGTTGAGTAAACTTGTCGTCTTTATAGAGGTATGTAACCCACTTTTCACGTCCCTTCCACAAGCACACTCAAAAAGATACTTGAAGATGTCAAGGAGTTGATTAGCACTAAACTCATAATTTTAGTATTTAGCGCCCCCGTGTGGTTCAAAGCGGTAGGGTCAGTCAATGATTGTCAGTATTTGCAGTATTGCATATTATAGATATAGATTGTCCTACCAAATGTAAGCATATTTTAATGATATTATCAGCCATTTACATCAGTTTTCTGCACTATAAAAACTACTAGCATGTGTTTAGAGCATTTTTTTTCTATTAAAAGTCATACACTTTAATGTTTGATCTGTGTACTAAAATGTTTGCTACTTCAATCAGCCCCATCCAGCTTAACTGATGGTCTGCCAAACTGGTTATGTTGGTCCTACGCTCTGGTAGGACAACTGATCAGTTGCCTTTGGTTTATAACCATAAATGACTAGTTTGCTCCTGTGACCACAATCACCATAAACTAGTGTTAGCTGCATTTTCTAGCAGGGTTCCACATGATAGCTTAATGCTGTTAAAGCCTGTTAACATTCTCATTTGTCCGTGGATTTTCCATGTGAGATAAGTTAGATGTTGAAGCTTGACTATGATGCCCACTGCTGGCAAATGAAACAATGTTCAGAAAACCCATTGCGGAAATTATTTTATTTATTTATTAAAATTTTTTTTGTTGAGTAGTCTATGACTGAGACTACTCGGTGTCAAATATTTGAATACAAACTGCGCGCATTAATGATTTCACGGATATCATCATCAGTAGAGGCTGGACCTAGTATAACATCATATTCAAGTCACAGAAGTCTTACACAGTATATGACTCATTCAACATATTTCTACGATGAATAACTTGCCATTTCATGTAATTTAATCGCTTATACCACTGGTCATAACAGTTATGACTTGTACAAACGGACTAGTACTAACTGATGGGTATCAGCCACCGCCTCAGAAAAGCCTAGTAAAGTTTTCAACTCCCATCTCGTGATTCTGTGTGGCGCAGATGATCGGATATGGGCGGGACTTCAGCGGTCACCGGAGATAAACACTCTCAGGACTCCACACTCGGTTTTCGACGCCGAAACTTCCAATGAGGGCGAAGCAGGTAAGATAACTTGATTCTGAGCTTTTACTATAGATAAGTCGTTTTTTTTGCTAGCATGAACATGCACGATCAGTTTCAGCGTTCAGTGTGAAATATAATTTATTAAGGATTGGTTCACAGTTTTGGCGTGTAGACTGAGCCTCGCTTGGAGCACGAAATTGAAATTTCACTCGGTAGTTTGTGACGGGGAAACGGATGTATTATTGATCATACAATGTCCCTAATAAGGATAGTGCTTTCTTGTTTCAGATTGTCGTTGGGAGCCACAGACTGCGAGTGCGCGGCACTGTCTCTTTAAACACGCCTGGTGTGAAAAGTTCAGTCAAGGTCAGTGTCAGCGTCTACTCGTCTACTCATCCATCTCCTCCCCGCAGTTTCCGTCTGTCGGCTACAGTAACAACAAGGTATCTCACGATGTATCAGCCACGTCTAAAACCGCGCTGATATTTTATTGTTTACATATATACATTTATTACTTATCTTTTATCCACAGAAGGCTGTGCGGAGGAGAGTTCTGCGCGGTTTGGTGCAGAGATCGGCGTCTGATATCGCGAGCGCAGCGCAGCAGATGGCTGGCGACGGCGGGGAGGCCAAACGTCTTCAAAAGAGACCGTTTCACGGCGAAGTAGAGGAGAAATCTAGCGCGACCATGAATGAAAACGTCAAAATTCAGCCCGGTAAAAAGACTTCGGGTGATCGGCGCGGTAAGGAAAACTCTGCCGCCAAGTGTACTGCTTTGACAAGCGGCTATGCAGAGGCGAAGATGGACCAGACCGTCATTCACAGTCACCAAACGCGAGAGGACCGGAGCATTTTCTTCGACGAGGACAGCAATCACATTTTCCCAGTGGAGCAGTTCTTTGGGAACATGGATGTTGTTCAGGTAAGCTAAACTGATTCAGAACACATGTTGTTATGATTGGGTATCAGTGCAGAAATGCAGCAAAATAGCGCTGTTTGAACTTAATTCCGAGCTGTGACCAGCAATTACGTTTGACTTTCAAGGTTCTAAAAAGAACTACTGTATTTTGAAAAAATAATTTCATGTGAACATTTTTACCTGTCTAGTGGAAATGGTCACGTGACCAGAGTTTTACGTCTTGTTCAGGTAAGCTAAACCGATTCAGAACACATGTTGTTAGAGTGGGGGTTCAGTCTTCAGCTGGCTGGCAGGAGCTGCCACTGACAGGTCACGTGAGCTGCCACCATCCACTGGCGGGTCAGCTGGTCTGCCACTCCAGCCAGTTAGGCAACTACTGTTTGAAGACAGATCTACCTATTTGGAAGTCATTTTGTTTTAATTATTATTATTATTATTATTATTATTTTTTGTAAATTGTTTTCTTTTTAATTACTTTGAATAAATGAATATATTTATTTGCGTTCATGTCTTCCTCTTACTGCTTTCACGAGCCAGCCTTTATTTAAACTACGAGTATGCCTAGGCTATGTGTTCCCCACCACTCCTGTTGCAAGGAAATGAATAATTTTTATTATTGTGAATGTTCTTTTTAATCTATTCTTTAGTATGATATATGTTTTAAGGAGGTTTATCTAATGGCCGTGATCCCGACTGGTGGGTTACTGGCACTTCTGTCCAGCCAGCTGCTATTAAGCTGCAGGTTTAACGGGTTCCCTGCGACTCTTACTGCAATGGAATTCATTGTTTTATTATTATTAATGTATTCTTATGAATATACTCTTTTGTATCATCGACATTTAAGGGAGGTTTATCCTGAATAAAGGGCTCAAATGGCCGTGATCCCGACTGGAGGGTTACTCCTGCTTCAGAGCAGCCAGTCACTTTTAGCTCCAAATTTAACGCGTTCCATATCACTCCATAAAAGGTCGATCATTTAAAAGAATAAAGTCATATGAACAGATGTACAAAAAATAAATAAAACAAATAGAAAAATTTTATATATATATATATATATATATAATTTCTGGAGCTAGATTGGAAGAATAGCAAAACACATAAATCTGCCATAAATCAATGGTTCCTGATAGTGGACTGCCAGCCGGCAGGCAGCCAACCACTGGCAGGTCAAGTGATTGAACTCCTAATGTGTTGTTATGATTGGGTATTAGAGCAGAAATGCAGCAAAATAGCGCTGGTTTGAATTGAATTCAGAGCTAACATGTGCGATCAGCATTTTTGTTTGACTTTCAAGATTCTAAAAAGAAATTATGTATTTTTGTAACTATAATTTCAAATGCAAACGGTGTTGATTTCATGTGAGCATTTTTTACATGTCTGGTGGAAATAGTCACGTGATCAGTTTGAGGTCTGTGACATTAAATCGGTGCATAAAATAAAACGTTTTTTTTAATTAATTAAAGATAATAAAAGTCTCATAAATCACTATTATAATACGTCAGTTAAGAAACTCTTTGTCCAGTATAGTATATGAAAGAAAAAAATAAAAATTAAATTGTCAAAAGGTAAGTAAATATCTATCTATATGGTGTGTATACAATAATAGTAATAAAAAAGGAAAAATATATAAAATTGTAGATTTCATAGTTGCATAATTAAAAGTAAAAATAAGAAACGTAAATTTATTGTTGTTAAATATCAGTTGATGGCCCGTGCAGGATGTGAACTTTCATGGCTCTTTGCCCCAGTAACATAACCCTGATCTAAGTTGAGCTTTGCAGATGAATAACATGCAGCCAGATGGCTTTGTTTGCACACAGTGATCCTAAAATGTTGAGGTTAATTCAAGACCATGTAGGATTATTGGAGTGAAGGTCTGTTAATGCTCAATAGGGTGTCAAAACACAGCAGGTGTCTGGCTGATTTCATAATGCATGCGCTCAACAGACACTGTCATTAATGCAATTTTAACGTCTTAATGTGGCTTTGTTTTAAAACATTCTGACCTGATTTGTTTCAGAATTACCCACGCAGAACCCCAGGAAGCAAGAGAATGAGTCGGAGAGAGTACAGGAGCATGCATTACTATGCCAAAGAGGACAGTGAGGACGAGCAGCTATGAGGACACAATTCCTCTCACAGAGTCACTCAAACTGTATGCCATTGACGGGGAAGGAGTTTTATGCTGGTAAAATGGATTTGATTGTTTTAAAGCAAGCTATTTTATTCCAAGAGCCTTCTTAATTAATGTTTGAGCTACACTGAGATGCACTGTTGATTTATCAGTAATGTGGTAATTTTTGTCTTACGCAAATTTAATGAGGTACAACAACAACGGCAAAAATGTTAGGGCATCCCTAATTATAAACTTACTATATATGTGCCACACTAAAGGAATGTACAGTAAGAGGTGCTAGACTTCAGGCTAAAACCATCATGTGATTGGGGTTTCCACTGAAAGAAAGCTAAATAATTTCTATAACTTTCTGTACACTGGGTTTTCTACCACTTGTCCTTACTAATGTGCTCTGAAATCAACAAATATTGTTTTATCAGTCAAGTGCCTTAAATTTGCTGTTCAGACTTTGAAAGCAATTTGAACATTAGCTTGGACATTCTGAATTTGGCACTTTTAAACATTCTCTATTGAGAATGAATAGATTTGTTTTGGAAAAAACACAATACTTCAGATTTGGTGCTGTATAATTGAAAATTAAAGCATGTAGCTATTTTGACATCTTATGTTCTTTGATAGGCTTATGATGTAAAGATTTTTTTAAAGGTTAGTATCTCAAATTAAGAGGGTTTTATCTGTATTATGCATGTGGCTTCACCAAGAATTTGATTTGTCTGTATATGATTTGTATCTTATTTGACAGGATTTGCACTAACTTGAACAAGTGGCTCAAAGATGTAACATTTTAAAATGTAGTTTCTTTGCTACTATGTACAAATTGTATGAGGTAAAAATTGTAGAAAGTGTGATTTTGAAGTTTATATTTTTCTATTGAAGTGATAAAC